TAATAAATCATCAGATACTTTTCCTAATAACACATTTACCATGGCATCATTAGTAGAATAATTATCCACTGTGATTGTAGACAATTTCCTATCAATATTCCAATCCATCAAACAATCTAACAAAGTTTTTGCAAGTACCTCAGAAGTATGTGGACAAAGCACATATTGAAAACTGTAAAAAACAATAAAAAGAATTACACTAAATATTCTAAACTCATAAACATAAATATATATTTTAAAAAATCATAACAAAAATAAAAAAATGTCACCTGATAATTCGATTTTGCAACATCCATGAATTGTCAATATAATGTGCTGTGATGACCATAAAACCTCTCTTTTGATTATTTGAAGTCCACATGTCAGTTGTGATGGCAATTCTACTTTGATTGACCTCCAACAACTTCATTGTTTTTAGACTTTTCATTACGATAGATGCCCATGATATCTTTCTTGATTGTGTTTCTCGAAACATACTTGAACCTTGGTTGGAGAGTAGCAACAAACCTTCTAAAGAAAATATGATCAACAATTGATAGAGGTAACTCATGTGCAGTAATCATATATGCAAGCTCCTTTCTAGCCATCTCTTGATTGAAAAGTCCATGCCCAAGTTCTGTTTTTCCTTCTTGATTCTTTGAAGCTCTCAAAAATGTCTACCTTATGTTAGAAACAGATTTCAATGGACAGACTCGAGTGTGATCATGTAAATGGCTTGTCCCATTCTTGGTCTCACCTCCAAGATGTTTATTGCAATAGACACAAATAGCTTTCCAATGACCATTAATTTTTTGCCTCCGATAATGGTTCCATGCTTCAGAAGTAAGTGGCCGCTTATGTCCTTAATCATCTTTTTTATCTTCACCAGTACCACTTTCTAATGTAAGAGGAAGAGGAACCATAGCCGAGGATGAAGTTGGTGTGGCAGCAGCACTCGGTATAATACTTACACTTGATTCATTTGGAATTTGAGTTAATGGGGGGCTAGGCTCTTGTGAAGACATTGGCTAATTGATACCTAAAAATGAATTAAATTAAAAATTAATAGTTAAAAACACTAAAGCACAAATCAGTAAAGCACAAAAATTAAATTAAAAATTACTATGGTCAAGCGTTATTATGCACCCCCACTTTGGTATACCCTCCTAAGAGGAGTACTTGACAGCAGGTGGTGGGTTTTTGGGGATGGTATGACTTGGCCCCTGGACTGTACCAACCAATACTTTCCACCGGGTTTTCCTATTTGGGGACAATCCATGATATGCAAGATGCAAATGCATGCAATGCTTAGGTGTAGTAAGGATAAAACACTAAAATTACTAGTTAAAAATACTCAAGCACTAAAGCACAAAAATTAAATTAAAAATATAAAAATTACTAGTCATAAACACTAAAGCACTCAAGCACAAAAATTAAATTATACTAGTTAGAATCACTAAAGCAAAGCACAAAAACGGTAGCTTTAGAAATTGCATCTAATTGATACCTAGAGTTTGAGAGTTTGAAAAGAATCTGAGGCAGAGCTGCAGAGGAGGAAGCCACGCGACAATAGAAAGAGAAAGAGGGCGACCCAGCCTTGGAGGAGTTGGAGGTGAACGGTGCTGACTTACAGTGACGGGCTGATGGTAGGGTGCCACGGTGAGAGGCTGGCTAAGATGACCCAGCAGCAGCCTTGGAGCTCAGCTGGAGGTGAGCGGTGAGTTGCAGGGCAGCAAGGGCCAAGGGCTGTAGTGATGGCACCGTGAGTCCGTGAGAGGTCGAGAGTTGAAGGGAATCACTGTGAAGGTCCGTGGAGATGAGGGCAGAGTTTGAGCAAGAGTGTGGGGTGTGGCAGAGGACTAAAGGAGAGGAAACTCAGATTGACTGCACAAACCGACCAAGAGATGGCACAGTGAGTCGTAGAGTTGGTGAGAGGTGAGAGCTGAAGGGAAGCCGGAAGCACCGATTCACAGTGGGCTATGGAGATGAGGGCAGAGTTTGAGCATGAGTGAAGAGTGTGGCAGAGGATTAGAGGAGAGGAAAGTCGACCGAGAGGCGAGAGAGGAATGGGAAATCCCTAATTCAGAATTCGTAAGAAGCAGAAAGGGACTGAAAAGTGAAAATAAAATGTCTTTCTGTTAGGCAGCTAGGGTTATATGTAAATTGGGCTGTAAATTGTGAATTTGGGCAATTAAGTTTTAGGAAATAGGAATATTAGATTCACAAAAAAAAATTGGATTGGGCTGAGAAGTGAGAATTGGGTTTGGAAATTTTGAAAAAAGAATGGATTGTGAAATTTAAGTTATGTTGGTATTGGGTTAGCTAATTAGGTTGGGTAAGTAAAAATTAATTGTTAATATATGTAAAAA